GGTAATGTACATCACCAAACATGTTGAACATCAGAGCGACAGAGACTTTTCACTGATCACATTTAAAAACAGCCAATAGTTAAGCTTTTATTTTCTACCCCCGTCACCCGGTAGGACAGCGGTAAGTTTATAGAATTACGATGTTAAAATACGGAGTTCGATTCTCCGTGGTGGACACAACTGATAGCTCAGTGTGGAGTTGCTCTAAAAAACAAACAAATTTTGAACCGTGAATATAAAATCATTTCACTGTCACGCATTTTATGCCTTAATCGATAATACTTGTTTTATGCAAGGTTCTAATAAATATGTTATCAGATACCACGTTAAAACATCTACTAAATGGAAACCTGGATTATATTTTATATGATCATTTATATTCAGCCAGCATATAGAATTTATTACTTTCAACTTAACGTTTCCTCTGTGTTGAATTATTTATTTTACTACAAGATAGTTTCACAAAATTACAGGAAAAAAATGCTGCCTTACGTTTCATGAATACGAAATGTGTAGCTTATCTTTTGGTTCTCTTTTTAAGTGCCAAACTTAACTTTTAACTGACACAGTGGAAATTTCAAGAGCTTTAAAGCACTAGAATTACACATCTGTACACGAGACAGAATAAGCGTCGCAACAGCAATATTTTAAATTTAAATCGAGGTTCCAAAACCACAACTTTCGATAAAATATTATACGCGCTTTCTAACGTTCCGTTCCAGATGTGATACAGAGTATGATAAAATTACTTTGATGTTAAAACTACCGATTTTATTTATTCTCCCAGGAGTAAAGATAAATTAACGTTGCTATAGCGTGCTTATAATTAACTATTATTCGCATATTTCATGTTTGTACTATAGTAAAGTAAAATTAAGGTACTTGTTCTTGCATAAAAACTAATAAATAATCTTTATTCACGCGTCATACTGATACTGAATACAAAAATGTCATAATAATCCACCGAGAAAAGAAAATTGCAATAGAACTTGAATTTTGAACGGTATCTTATGCACGCATGAGTTAAACAATCAGGTAAAAGTCTCCTTTGAAGTACAGATAAGAAAGAGGACAGTCAGCCAGAAAAACCCGTTGTCACAAGTTTTGTCGGGCACTTTAAAGAGATTGACTGTCACCTTACTATAGTGGACGTAGCTTGTATGTCAATGTCTATGTATGTAACCAAAACTCCTGCGCTATCTATTGAATGGCATCACACACCAAAATCCATAAAAAATTTCACACTGTGGGTACTCAAGTGGACCTTTCCACCCGCAGTCCACCTCCGACCCTCGAAAGAAGTAAGTTATGGTGCAGTGACTAAGCAACCCCCCCCCCCAAGAAAAAAACAACAATAACAACGAAGAAAACTATTTACTGTTTCTAATGGCAAAGACAAAGCAGGCGGTATGCAAAAACCTGTTGTAAAGATATCTATTGTTGAACTAGTTGATAGTGACCGCAAGAGTACATTACAACTGATTGAGGCACATCTTTAGTACATGATGTGTTACACCTTTAGTACGTGATGAGTTACATCTTTAGTATAAGATGAGTCACATCTTTTGTACATGATGAGGTACATCTTTAGTACATGATGAGTTACATCTTTAGTATGAGTCACATCTTTAGTACATGATGAAGTACACCTTTAGTACGTGATGAGTTACACCTTTAGTACGTGATGAGTTACATCATTTGTATATGATGTGTTACAGCTTTAGTACACGATGAATTGCATCTTTAGTACATGATGTGTTACACATTTAGTACATGATGAGTTATACCTTTAGTAAATAAAAGACGCATATTTTTGGTACATGATGGAGATCACATCTTTAGGTCATGATAGACACAGTTAGTGCATATTACTACTGTTCATCATGAAAGACACAGTTAGTACATATTACTACTGTACACCTTTAGGTCATGAAAGACACAGTTAGTACATATTACTACTGTACACCTTTACGTCATGATAGACACACTTAGTACATATTACTACTGTACATCTTTAGGTCATGAAAGACACAGTTAGTACATATTACTACTGTACACCTTTAGGTCATGAAAGACACAGTTAGTACATATTACTACTGTACACCTTTACGTCATGATAGACACACTTAGTACATATCACTATTGTACATCTTTAGCATATCCACTAACCTGTAAAGTAGAAGTACATTTTATACATAAAGTTATTATGGAATTGTTGCTTATAATAAAAATAGACATTATAGATGAGACTGGTGAGAATAAAGGCAAAGAGCAAGCCATTGTTTTATAAGAACAGAAATATTTGTAAAAGTAGTAAAGCACTTATGCTTAAAGAAAATCATTATTCACAACGTAGAAAAATAAAACAATTATGCCGTTAATGATGCGAACAGATAGACACAAGTATGGACTAGGATTACTACACCCACAAAGTTAAAACAGAATATTATCGTCAGAAACATATATACTTCATTGGTAGATTTTTCTTTAAGTAACTACTGCGTGAAGTCACGCATGAGGACGAGGTTAATGATATCGACTCTAGGTGTTGTTATGAGGAGAAAATATGTCTTAGAAATGCTGCAAGTTAATCATGTGGTTATTAAAAGTATTTAACACCATAATTTGTAACCACATGGTTAATTTGCAGCATTTATAAGACATTACTTTACGAGTGCATTGTTTCATTAAATAAACAATCGTTGTAAACATCCTAGTAAGTAGCTTCTTTGTATTACACGTTTGTGTAAAGGTAAAAGCTGTTATACAGGTTTAGTGTTGTAAATCAGGTTGAAAAATATTACTTTTAGTTATTACACTTACCCAAACATTCTCATAGATATTTTAAGTAACAAAACTTGAAATGTTTATACTTCGTACTTATTTTTGTTTCCACTCTTCACTTGATTATCACCCATATTCTGCACATAGAGAACACAGATGTTTCGCTTCTCTCTCTCTCTCTCTCTTGTTATTTTTTGAAATAACCTTCAGAAAATGTCGTGTACTCGGTGTATTTTCATGTACGTGCATTGAAATAACCTTCAGAAAATGTCGTGTACTCGGTGTATTTTCATGTACGTGCATTGAAATAACCTTCAAAAAATGTCGTGTACTCGGTGCATTTTCATGTACGTGCATTGAAATAACCTTCAGAAAATGTCGTGTACTCGGTGTATTTTCATGTACGTGCATTGAAATAACCTTCACAAAATGTCGCTTATTCGGTGTATTTCCATGTACGTGCAGAAGTTAAGAAAAAAAAAAATGTTTAGAGAAATTCTTACGAGTACATATACTTGTGATAATACGTTTATTTACCGGTCCTCCATTTAAATACGGTGCGTATGTTAACACATGGCGAAATAATATAATTGTACTATAAGTATATAACAGGACTATAAAAACTATATTTATTTGTATTTCAAGTATTCTATGTACTAAGAGTCAGCACTTGTAAAAGTAATGATGTGACTTACCTTACGGTTTAATATTACTACTTGTTAATTTTTCCACGCTAAAAACTAGTGGAAACTTTTAAAATACAAATTATGCATAGTTGGTATAGATTTATTTTGGAACCGAGATATTTTTTATATTAAAATGTGACCTCTAAGGTTTAATCCTCATATTACAGACTAGTTTTATACCGCTCACCACCGGTGGGGTCCACTTGTTCAAGCATATTGAGTAGATTTCATGCGTTAGTCTGTTACAACAATCAGCGTAAAGAACTATCTAAAATGGAAGATGGGTAAAATCCTTTCGTTTTCTATGTAAAATTAATTATAAACTTCACCAATAATTAAAGGAATAATTGCAATATTGACGATATTTAGCTTGGGTTTCTTTTTTTTCTTTACTCTTCTGTGACTCCATTGTAGTTAGGGTCCTTGTAATTAACAAAGCTATGGACCCCTAGATGCTAGTATATATATACAGTTGAAAAATTTTTTCCTTAAACAAGCTGATGATAAGACCTTTTTAGTAAATGTACGGTTAAGTAATTATGCATATAATAGATATAAGCACATAATATCAGGCTTATCTAACCACCAGCTAAATAATAATGATTTACGAAAAATATATATATATACTAGATTTTGGAATTCATTAAATATAGCTATTGTCAAAGGACCGCTTGTTTGGCTATGTGTATGTATCTATGCATATACGTTGGTTGTATTTCAGACATACTATTAAACGTCATCAGTTCCAGTTCTTGTTTGTCCTTGAAGAAAGTCGTTTGGTTGGTTGTCTGTACGTTACTTCACTAGATGGAAATGATCTTTTTAAACAAATATATATATATATAAGTGGATTGTTAGTTTCGTAAACCATTGATCTAAATGTTCGTCAAAAGTACAAAAAGAAAATCGTACAGTGCTCCATTCTTATGGTTATTCTTAGTGTAATTTTAATTCTTTTTTAGTCTGTGATTTAAGAAATATTTAACTTCATTAAGAAATTAGTAATCACTTTTATACTTATTTTTGTTCACACAAATGTAATCCAGAATTTAATTCCTAATGTTAAATTTAGCTTTATATTCAAAACTTCCATTTCAGTAATAAATTGAACCACATCCGTTTACTGAGTAATAAAACAGCGCTAACAGAGAGAACAGAAATGTGGGAAAAGCGCTGAGTTTAGCTGCAACTCAAGAATGGTCATCGAGTTTCAGGATATTTGTTTAAACACATTTAAAAGTCACGCATTTCTAGAGAAATGCGACTCGAAGTCAGCCCTTTAACGAAAACATGATAATGGAAAAATTAATTGACAAACATTTTCCCAAGAGAATCCCTATCACGCTTCTCAACCATCGTAGTGATCGTTTAGTTTTACTTCACCACAGATCGGGGGTCTACATTTTTCTGCGTCCTTGAACGAATTTCCTAAACAAACCGATAGGTGTCAGTGTATTCAATAATGATCAGTTCTTCCCACGTGATATTTATCCCTCTTGTCATTGGTTAGGAGGCACTAAACAGCAGCAGTCAGAATCTGAAAGGTCTGCAGTGACTAGGTGGTTTAACTATAGTGCAAGAAAAAATGATTAGTTAAATACTACATCGAGTTTAGGACAGCCAACATGAGAGCAGTGAGACTCACATGATAAGCTGTAAATTAGTATCTTATTAAATGCACCATAAATCACTGAGTACGGTTGGTTATTGGTGAAACAATTTTACTTAGTTGACTGAGTCTCAGCCGTGAACTATCAGATCATTTTATATCTATATCTCTACATAACTGCACAGCTAAATCATCATTGGCACGCGGTTGTGTCAATACACACCCGAACTCGGTGGAAATGGTAGTTTAGTTTGCAAAGAAATCTACGAGTCTACAAAAAAAGAAAAATAGATTAAAACAGACTTTGTTCTGAAAGTTCAAAAACTAACTCATTTTCTATTGGATTGCTTTTGACGAGCAGTATTCGTTCAAGTGTTCAGTCTGGATTTCCAAAAGAAGCTTTGTCTAATCATCAGTTGTTCATATACTACTGAAAAGTCATGTTCCACGAATCCGTGTTGTTCTGGTGTTCCCAACACATGAAAAAACGGAACATTCCTCCTTCAAGGAAACACGACGATTTGACGACTAGACGGTAAACGTTTCTCAACTTGCTGCCAAAATCCATATTCTCAGGTTGACTGAACCGGTGTTTGTGAATATGGCTTACCAACCCAAAACTGAAAGCCCTAACGGGCAGTCTGGAATTGTAGAAGAAAACCCGAATCACATCGTTTACCGAAAGGTAGTTATGGTTCAGATTTTTTTTTTTTAAGTAATCATTTTGAAATTAATATTTAGTTGAGAGTTTCCTACTATAACGTAATGAACTTCACCTTAGATCTTTTGTCATCTTAGTTTCATCGGTTTAAGCTGTGACAGCGATTACTTAGTAAGATTATTAAACAGTTCGTAAAGAAGTAATTCATGCTCACACTTGTGTTAAACGGGATTTTCAAGTATTCAAACATAGCTCAATGCATACACGCCTGGCGGAAAAATATAAAAACACAAATACTAGAGTCATCCTACACACTTTGAAAATTAAAAACAGCTAAAATGAGACAGAAAAGCGTACAATAAAACCACGTTTCACCACCGTTAATGTGGCATCATCAGGTATTTTATACAACTAAACACAAAATACTAAATACAGTACACCCAATGATGACGTCATTAACATAATCTTTATCTTAGAAGTAGGTATACCAACCATTGGGTGTACTGTATTTAGTATTTTGTGTTCAGTTGTGTAAAGAACTTGATGATGCCACATTAATGGTGGTGAAACGTGGTTTTATTGTATATATTTTCTATCCTATTTTCAGCTGTTCTTAATTTGTAAAGCACAAAAAAAAAAAACAACAGTTAGTACAAGGTCAAAAACAATCGTGGACAGTCTTAAGAGACGGCCTGTCGTCAATCTGGCAGCATAAAATTAGAGTAATAAACGTGTTTTGTGTCTTTAACAGAAACATTGTAAAAGTACCGCCACCAAGTATCTATTTTTAGAGTAAAGAAATAAGGCTACTTCCAGTGACTGGCTTAGTCAGGAGTAAAAATACTTCTAACTAGAGAGGTTTTTCTCGAGAACGAGGCTCAAAAGCATTATAGCGTATTGAAGTCATGACTGAGTCTATTTCCTTACGCTTAATACTGGGTTTTGTACAAAATATTTAAATAATCACGACCGTATTTCTGGTAGCCCTGTACGTGGAATATTTCAGCTGACATACTTGGTGTGAAAGCTACCAACCGTATATAGGTTTGTAAGTTTGGAATAGTTTTCATTCCGGCATGTATACAAACTCTCAGATTTGCACCCTAAAGATTTTACTTGTCATATATCAGTCATACATGGAGACAGTTTATTTCATAGCTCAGTGCAAATCTACACAAGAACTATATGCGCATAACTGTCCCTAATAATAAACTGAAGGGACTAGAGAGAAGGCAACTAGGCAACAGCACCCACCGCCAACTCTTGGACTGCTCTTATTTGATTGAATAGTGAGACTTGACTGTCAATATTATAGCACACCCATGGCCTCAAATTTCGGAAGGACCTTTTGCGGAAACTGTTCGAGAACCACAGGCCAATACCTAACTAACGGGAAGACAGACATGTGTGTATACATTATTAACTTCACTATTGTGTTAGCAGGATGATCATTACAGTAGGCATTAACTGAGTAATGTTAAATAGTACATGGGTTACAGTAATTTGACTTTATCCAATAACGCTTAAAGCATAAAATCACCTGTTTAACAAGGAATATTATTTATTTTTTTAAACAAAGATTTAGGTCATATCTTGTGTAGAAACTTTAAATGGATAATAGTGTTAATAAATAATCTTAGTATTCAGAAAATTTTCGAAATACTAAGTTTATTTGTTATACCTGCTACTATGCGGCTACATAATGTGAAGAACTGAATATTGGCCAATAACACTTTTTCTTTACTTCACCTATCCGGTATATTGGTTTTTCTCATAGTGACTATAAAGCACGTTCACACCAACAATATGTTTGAGAATAGTGTTGCTTTGGTATTGTTTTTCATTGCTTTATATCATTTATTGCTAAGTAAAACTTTCAAGGGATCGTTTTCCTGGGTACGTATCAGGCTGAAGATTTAAAGGCCCATGGTTCGAATTGCGATATGCCGTTGAACATACATTGCATTTTTAACTGTGGACACGTTATAAAAGTGACAGTCAAGCCCATTACTCATTTAAAATAGCTAGACAAAGCCCTGACAGAGGCAGGTACTGCTGGCTAGCTACTTTCTCTCTGGTCAATAGTTCAATATTAGGAACTGGTATATCAGAATCCTATAGTTTCCTATCTCTGAATGTTCTAAGTAACATCGAAAGTAGGCGTAGCCTATTGGTTAGCGTGTCGGGCTGCGTATTAAAGGGTCTGGGGCTTGAGACGTGATGCCACCGAATGTACTTCACATTTCCAGTTGTGGAGCATTATAAAAGTGACAGTCAAGCCCATTACTCGTTTAAAAGTAGCCGTATAGAAGGAGAGTGTTGCTTACTGGTTGCCCTTCTTCTAATTAAGATTTCTAAGGCGGATGGGGTAGCTGTGTATCCTCTGTGTTTCATAAGGTATCATTCAGACTGAAAACACTAAACACTTAGTTTTTCGTCTCAATTTTTATTTGATAAGAATACACTTTATCATTTGTGAAAGAGTCCACTAATTATAAACTCGCCAATTAAGTACTTAATGAAGATTTTCTTTCAGAAACTAATTTTAGCAAGTTTGTAATCATTCCCTTAAAATTCTGCATGGTGACCCTCTTCGTACTTTATGAGAACGTTGTAATTTAAGGCAAAGTGCTGACAAGTCTGAAGAGGTTTATTTGTAAAGTTAAATAGTTAAGTTGATCATTTCCGCGGCAAATTATTTTAGTATTTTCTTAAAACACGTCATCGTTAAACCTGTTACTAGTTTTAAAACAATGCTCGATAATACTGATAATATTTGTTCAAATGTTCTAGATATAGAATAAGCAACTGAAAATAATTGTTTGTTTGTTTGGAATTAAGCACAAAGCTACACAATGGGCTATCTGTGTTCTGCCCACCACGAGTATCGAAACCCGGTTTCTAGCGTTGTAAGTCCGCAGACATACCGCTGTGCCACTGGGAGGCCTGAAAATAATGAACTAGATTATCTTGAACCCGAAACTACTTTCACTGATGAACACGAACCTATAATTTTCTTCAATAATTTACGAAGTTTATTTTTAATTTTCAACCAATGTATTTTCAACTCTTCCTTACGACCCTACAATTTTTGGGAAGGAACTGTTACAGTTCTTCCTGGAAACTGATAAAAAAAATATTTAAGCAAAGGAAATGATTCTCTAAATAATCTAGTTGCATTAACAAACAATTTAAAATTTAACTTGATTTTTTTTACAAGTGATCCGGACGTTGTCAAATTGTATTTTTTTTACTATAAAGTCTTAATAAGTCGTTAGAACAATGGACGGATATCAATGATAATAATTATCCTTGAAACGTGAGTGGCAGTTTGAACACACCGCGGATATCATGATATTAACTACCTATAAGACATAAGTGACAACATTTATTTCCTAAAATTTGATGTACTTAACGTTTTTCTAACAAAACACTACTCATTGCTATCGGTTTTTGACCACAGCGCTTCCCCGATAGAAGAATACAGAGAAAGTCGTTGAGAAAAAAAAGCTTTAATCTGGATCAACTTAGCAGGTTATTTTTTCTAGTGACCACAAGATGTGGTAGAGATAACTTCTTATTGATACATTGAAACTTAGAAAGTGCGTACAAAAGAGTTCCATACTAATAAGTTGGTTACCATAGTTGCCATAACCCATAATATCCCCTATTTGATTATACTTAAGACTAATTTTGGACTGTACATTCTTATACTGATTGTAATTCACTACAGACTATTTCTGAATCGAGTTTTTACTCAGTTAAACGATAATACGTTGAATTTTTTTAACAGTAGTAACCCGGAGGGATAGCGGTAAGTTACGAACTTACGACGCTAAAATCCGGGGTTCAGTTCCTCTAGGCGAACACTGCAGATAGCTCAATGTGGCTTTGTTTTGAAACAAACCGTTTTAGCACTATAGTTTTAGTATCGTTAACACAACAGTTTGGAACACATAATAATATGAAAAAAGTCATAGTATTTTTTTTGAAAAAAAAAAGGATAAGTAGTTTATGACTCAAACTTAGAACAGAGCATAGCTATACGGAACTCACAATATCTGAAAATCGTGCTTTTCATCTTTCTAAATGACTCAAATAACAGTCAAAGTCTGTGATGATAGAATGGCGTCTTTATTTTTTTCCCGTATGTCTTGGCCCACCCATCTCGCGCAGCCAAACGTTTGATGTTAAAAGTTTTCCTGGACATTATTAATGTTTTTTTTTAATGTTAAAAATTTTATTGGACATTATTAGTGTATGTTTTTTAGTGTTAAAAATTTCCTGGACATTATTAGTGTATGTTTTTTAGTGTTAAAAATTTCCTGGACATTATTAGTGTGTATTTTCTCAGTTGGGCACATTCTACAAATAAATTATTTTATAATTCAGATAAGAGTCTCTCCTAATGTTATAAACATACGCACATGTACATAGATATGGTCGTCTGGGATGTGTATATCTAATAACTGTGTAATAACTCACATTCATGACTGGGCCTGGCATGGCCAAGTGGTTAGGGCGCTTGACTCGCAATCTGAGGGTCGCGGATTCGAATCCCCGTCCCCCCAAACATGCTCGCCCTTTCAGCCGTGTGGGCATTATTTGTGACGATCAATCCCACTATTCGTTAGTAAAAGAGTAGCCCAAGAGTGGGCGGTGATGACTAGCTGCCTTCCCCTCTAGTATTTCACTGCTAAATTAGGGACGGCTAGCGCAGATAGCCCTTGTGTAGCTTTGCGCGAAATTCAAACTACACTCTAAATTAAACGAGTGAATATTACATTTGTTTCAAAATGATGTCCACAACATAGCTGTACTTAATGAACATAAGCTACGTATAATATAACAAGCACTAGGAATACTACACATCATTGTGAAAATCATTTACTCTCACTAACATAGCTGTACTTAATGAACATAAGCTACGTATAATATAACAAGCACTAGGAATACTACACATCATTGTGAAAATCATTTACTCTCAATTTGGACATTTGTGTTGTTGTTGCTTCTGTTAATTG